CTCATATAGAAAGGCATGGAGACAAATACTACAGTGCATGGGATTGTGCCCTTGCATGCCAGCCCAGATGGCAATCTCCTGCACAGCTGCTATGTAGGGTTAAGGAGTATAAACGTTTTTGCACTTAAACTCCACACGAAAGGTTAATTTGGCCCTCAGGTAGTAAATATAGCATGTATAGTGCTGCCTTGTTTCCTTTCTGTTTTTTGGTTACATGGGTGTCTCTGATTGAAGAGATTTTTTTTTTTCTTCCTCCTCTTGGTAGCAGTAGCACTAATATTTATACAGCAGCGCTAGTATGCATGGCATTTTACATGGTCCCTTCCCTGAAGAGTTTTCAATGTAAGGGCTCAATTCGATCTTAAAGCTACTGCCCCATCATGGGGGAAGTATGGGGTCACACTGCTACAGGTATTATGCCATGATTTTTTCTGGCACTGTCAGTGCACAGGGTGGGCATGACTGCAGCTATGCCATAAAAGAGGTATATGAACTCCCTTTTGCAGCTGACCCTCTCTGTTGGCCATTGTGAAGGGAAGCTGCAGGGTCACAGCCCTGCCTCCTTCCTGTCCTTCTAGGGTGGCTAGCAATGTTTAACAGGACTACTCTTCTGTTCAGAGAAGTGCAAGGTTTGCAAATGTGGCAAGTCCCTGTTTGGGAGTTATTAGAGTAAGGAATGTTCCTTGTACCTTTCCCCCTCTTCATAACCCACCTAGAATCTAGCTATAATCCAGACCTAAGTGATTCCTTGGCAAGATGAGAGAAAACAGACAAAAGGGCAGGCAGTGGGAAAAGAGAACAAGGGTGAGATTTTGTGATGGAAAGGTTTCTTTTGAATGTATCTTGATAGATCTTCTGTTTTGTTCAATATATTTCTGTTGTTGTTTATAAGCCAGAATTGTTAATTATCGTTATTGTATTTTTTCTTTTATTTTTCCTATTATCTTATTTTTCTTCCCTTTTCATTTCTTCTTCTTCCACCAAGTCTTTTTTGTGTCTTCTTTCCTCAATCTCTATAAGTAACTATTAATGGGATAGGTATGCATGCATATTAATGGAAGAATAAATGTTAATGTAAGGCTCCTCAATCTCTATAAGTAACTATTAATGGGGTAGGTATGCATGCATATTAATGGAAGAATAAATGTTAATGTAAGGCTGCTGTACTCTGTTTCCAATTTTTATTTAAATCTATTATAAATTTTCTATATTATATACTCTCACAGTAACATTCAAAACCCTTGCCCTTGGGAGAAGGACAACTACCTCCAAAATAACATAGATTATGGATCTATAACAATATTTGAAGTACCCTTCATGCAAGTTGTGATGGTTGGTGCACGATGGAAGCATCACATAGTGGCTAGGGGGTCAGCTCCTCTTTAAGACAGAGTAGGGCTGGTAGGGGGCCCCCGGGCCCTCCCACTGCACAGGCTCCAGCCCAGGGTCCTGTGAGGGTTATCAAAGGGCAGGCACCCAGGAATGCCTTACAGATACCTTCCCTGGGCCACTTCCTACCCCTCATTCTATAGTCCAAGCTTTGCAGTCTGTAGCAAAAGTTACTGAAGAAAAGGTGTTTACTGCACCTTTAGTCTGTCTGGGCTCAGCAGGTAGGATCTTCTTTTCTCAGAGGCACAGTCACAACATCCCTTCTCAGTAGCTTCTAGGACAGGTCGTTCTTCCTGCCTTGTCAGCCCTCTTCTGAGCTGTCTGGCTTCCTTTTAAACTCCACCTCCATCTTTATGCACCCCATCACACAAGTATGCTAATAAGAAAAATACATATTTTAAAATGGCTTTCTATTTGTGCTGATTATTTAGTCCTCCTTCTCCTTCTACCCCCAAGACACTTATTAAAGAGTTGAACTCATGTAAGTATGGTAGTAACATTATTAAACTTTACTAATTTACAACATTTGTAACCAAAAACCATCATTCTCAGTGGCTGTATATATATAGCTTTATACTCCACTATATTTCAGAGTTCATTAATGAGAACAGAGTACAAGAACAGTTAAATGGGGATGAAGAAAGAAGTATTGTCGAGATAAAGACTGGGAGCTAGGAATTCTTGAGTTTTTATACCAGTTCTTACCTTGCTTTTGATAATTTCCAATTCTATAGTGCTTCCTATCTATGGATCTCAAAGTGGATTTTAAAGAATAGTGATTTAAGCCTTGTGGCACCTCTATGAGATGGGAATAAGATTGCTTTCCTATTTTACATAAGGAGAAATAGTGGCACAGAGATGTTTGGTGATTTTTCCCAAATTCACACAGAAAATCTTTAGCAGAACCAGGAATAGTCTCCAGATGTCTTGGCTTCCTGCCTTCTGTTTTAACCACAAGACCATCCTTCTTCCCATTTTAGCTCTCTTACTCAGTTTCCCCATCTGTAAACAAGGATAATACAGGGTCAGACAAATTTATCTGCACATGAATTTCTAGCCAGACACCTTTGCAGAACAATGAGGAGGAGGTAGGTTTGATCACCACCCTTAGAATCCAGTAAATCTGTTTCTGCTGGTGTTCCACGTGGAAGGGTTCTCTTAGGTTTTGGGACCAGGAAAGACTTGGGTAAGGAACTTGCAGCTTCCCAAGGCACAGACATTGCAGATATGTACTTAGTGTTATAAAATGGGCTAATTGTAGTGTAAGCACATAAATTAAAAATAGTAAGTAAATAAGAAAATTTACACACTGACACAAGGTAAGGCAAAGATGTCACCAACCAGCTACTACAAAAATGCACATTTCTAAGGAAAGCCTAGGCAAACAGAGAGGTCATACTGTGTGCTCTGAGAGACCTAGATTCCAATGGCCTGATTCCAGTGCACTCACACTGCTAGATAGGAAATAAAGCCAATAGACCTTAATAGAGCAGCAGTTGTCCCTGATGTGGGTTTGTAGGGGTGCATCCCCTGCAAATTCCACAGGGCTTCAAATTAAACTGTCTTATGGGAATGCATGACAGGAATCCCAGTTGTGATTTCCTGCATATCTGTCCCCTTCCATGGCTTTCTCAATAGTGGCAGGCAATTGGGGCTACTGTGCTTACCTATTTTAACAGGATATTGTGAAGATTAATATATGAGTGTTTATAAAGAAGCTTTGAAGATTAAAGGAAATATATATGGTATTTATTTATTTATTTAAGGATGTGAAATCCAGTACTTAGAATCTGACAGTTTTGTGCATGGTGTGAGCCGCTGTTGAGTTTACTGGATACCGCAATGATACTCTGAGGATCAGGCGCTGTAAGGTGGCTCTTTAATGTGTCTCCTGCGGCTCTTTGCAGCACATATTAAAATACTGTGCAATTTAATTATTAACCAATCAAAGTTATTAACCAGTTGGGATGCTTTTATTATGTTATTAACCAATTGTAGAATACTTGGTCAGTCATTTTGCTGTGAGAGTAATATCTAATCTAATCTATCTATCTAGTGCAACATCATACAATATACACACAAATTATTACAGTATTCTATTACAGCAGAAGACACGGTCAGGACTGTTACATTCTAAAGCACAGGCCTACAAAACTAAAGCCAAATAAAAATTTCTTTTTTTATTGTTGTTTGTTGTGGTTAATGTGAATTGTAAAGTCCTCCCCTTACCCCCGTTCAACTGCAACAGAACAGACACAAAATAGATAGTTTTATAACAAATATACACTAGTAATGTTTGTGAATATTTATTAGAAAAGTATCTCATTAGTTTATCTGTTTTGATGCATCTTGCCAGTGGAAAATATCTTTACAATTCATAGTCACTAAAAAAAACGTATTTCTTATTTTGGTTTAGTTTTAATGTTAATAACATATCTGGTAGTTTCCTGTGTTGAACTGATAGGATGATATACTGAATAGACTTCATCTCTTATATTTGTAAATCATGAGTGCCAGACGATAGTCTATGTCGGAAGACTAGATTAGATGAATACATAAAACATATGCTAATAGATTTCCCCATGAATAATCTAACTTCACTGTGAATTATATTGTACTGATTTACAGTATTTGTTAGGTGAACCTAATCGGTGTTTTTTTTTTTTTTTAAAGAATTGAGACTTGGGTCTATGTGATTTACATATATGAAATCATTATACAGTTAGGAAGATTTCTTTTACTTTAATTGTAACACTTCACTTCCATGAATGGACTAATCTTTGATTCCTCTACATCAGACTTTGCCAATTTGAAGTTTAGGTTAAAACTTGAATTTATCATGAAATCCTTTAGAAAAAAATCAAGACTTCAATCCAGTGAGCCAGTTCCATTTCTTATTAGCATCAGTGTGACTGAGATCAGAATCTGACTCCGAATGCTAGTACAAGTCATTTGTTAACTTTGCTCCCAATTACAGTTAAAATAGCCAGTGTCTGGAGCTAATATAGCTACCACAGCTGACGGATTAGGATACTGGTTTGCTAATGCATTGACCTGTTTCACCCATATAACACTAGTTCAATTTCCCGCATGGCAATAAATGTTTGGATTCAATTGTAGAACTAATGCATATTTTTTTCATCTCTCTGTCAAACCAGACTAAAGGGTCAGTTGGTGATGAGGATAATGATTCTCTTTGAAAGGGAAGGAAAGTCGGCTTCTGATTCTTTTGGAGATTCTAGGTCTTGTTTCAAATAAAAAGATGAACTAGAAAAAAATAGACTTGGAAATATCAATAATAGTGAACCTGCAAGTGTGACTCTTTGCCTTATTCATAAACCGATTGTATAAAGGCACATTGAAATACTTGCCATGACATGTTAGACAGATAATAAAACAGCATGCAACGTTTGGTTTTCAGAATATCAAACCACAGTAAGACTGTTCTCTGAAAAGCGATTCACCATTAAACTGTTTGCTACAATGGGAATTCCAAGTGACAGTTTGTCACAAGTTTTGATTGTTTCTCTACATGTTAAGAAATACTAAAACAAAGAAGTGTTGGGGACTGATTTATTTTTCTCAGAAGTGTCTTTCTTTCTTTCCTGCAGCGCGGAAAAGGATATGCTAGTCAATTCTACAGGACTTACCTGAAGCAGCATGATTTGCACAAAAGTCAACCAACAAAAAGCATCAACTTTTCAACTTCATTATCTTGGCCATCCAGTTCTATGTAACTGAAAGATTTGTGTGCTGTTGGAGACATCATGGCCAACAATAGGACCTAATTGCTCTCAGCAGGCCTGAGAAATGAGTTGAAATGTGTGGAACTGTAGAAACTTCAGAGGCAACTGATCTTGCCTTTCTGATCAGTGTGTGCCTGTTTACAGCACTATATATCTTTCTCTCTCCAAAATGTCACTGAGCCCTTTAGATGTTTATATTCACCACAAGAAGCCAATCGTACAGATAAAAGAAATGTGCATTATAAATGCAATATCACTGTTTTAAACTTGACTGTTTTATATTATTTTTGTGTGATCAAGTGTTCCCCAAACTATCCCAACTTTACAAGAGAGATTGTGATCATAATCTTTTCACCTGTGGGTCATAAAAATGTTGTTAATCTGCAGACCCACAAAATATCAAAGACATTCTGTAGTTTATACACGTGTTGCAAAGTGTTTACTGTACTATTTCAAAGCTTCTAAATAAATATAAAATATATATATATTATATTATATATAATTTTCCGAAAAATGTGGTACAATTTAGTTGATTTTTAAATGGATTCATATAGTCCAAACCATACACTAAAGTGAGAAGGTAATTCAGGGTCCCTAAGTTATCCTTGCTAAAAAATAAATAAATCTTTAATAATATTTCCCCAATTTTGGTATTTTGGTCAGTCCTGTTTTTTCTTTGTTGTTGTTGTTTGTTTTTGTTATTTTTAAAGCTGTAAGAAACAACATTTTGTTTAGAAGTTGTACTGAATTTTCAATGCCAAAGATGCAGCTGTCAGTTTTACCAGAATGAGCACTGACTATGTACTATCAAAAGTATATATCAATCTTCATTATTTTGATTCTATTTGTATGGTTTTTAATTTGGTATCACAACACCTTTTATAAAGGATCTATAAACTCACCTGTATATGTTGTTAAAAAGAACACTGGGTGTCTGTACATTTTGAAATGTAAGATGTAATGTAACTGAAGATAACTGTTCTAAGGAAATCATTCCAAACTCCTAACACACACATCTTTCTTTGACATAATTTTGTGCAAACCTAAGCAAATATATATATCTTTTCATCTTGGCTAGAAATGGTTTTTGATAAAAGACAAATCACAAAGGCATAGAGTTGGCTGAGCCGTTATTTTTTCTTCTTTTTTTACATTGAAGAGATTTGGAGTAGGAACATGGCACATTTCAGGCTGACCCTACTCTCATTGGAATTAATAGGAGATTGACCAATTATTTCATTGGGAGCAGGATCAAGCCTGTCCATATTGTTTTTACCTTTTTTAATAATTCAACAGACTGAAATGTTATCTCACAGATTCATACATATATAAAAAAACTTTTTTGAAAAGAAAAGCCTTGAAAAGTAAAGTTTAACTTTACTTTCAAGTCCACAGAGTTGAAGTATCATTTACAAGTGTAAAATCTAGTAAGATGTTTTCTTTTTTACATTCTCTACTGTACTGTTCCTTCTATATTTCCTAATTATTGCCTGTCAAATACTGAATCGAAATTATAGAATTTTGTGTTATTAGCCCATTGATGTCAATAGAACATGGAATTCCCATTGACTTCTATGACTTTGGATCAGGCCCAGATTCTGAAAGCCTTGTCAGTGCTGAGTATATGTCACAGCATGAGTAAGAGTGACAGAATCTGACCCCCAAGTGGTGGAAGTTGTTTTTGTTTTTCCTTTTTTTCCAATGGCAATTGCTATTAGATAGAGACATGCAGATCATTTGTATGGAGTCTGCCATACTATTGATGCACACAAGACTCTCACTGCTTTCAGTGAGAGTTCCATGCACAGAATGCTACCTGGATTGAGCCCTAATGTCATCAGTTTATTTCATAAGTCTAACAAAATAGGCTTGTTAAACACTTTTAACACATATTTCTAGCTTATTTGTACAATTTACAAAAACTTCTTGGGATCCTTTTTAAAATGTATATATAAAAATCACAAAAAAGCACAGAAAATAACTATTGATCTAAACAAACACAGCAGTAGGATGTTTCTTTAGCTTTAGGTAATGGGACTTTAGTCACCTACATGCCTTGTTAGTTTTATGAAAAAATGGGCTATTTTAGTAATGAAATGTGTGAATTATATTTCATTTTAAGAAGTCTGTCAATTTGTTGTTGCTGCTTTTAAGGCAAGAAAGTGATTGCCCTTGCTGGAACTGGTTTTGCTTTATTTCTAAACCTCTCTTTAAACTGAGATATATACTGTAAAATAAGGTTGTTTTCAGTCTTGGGAGGGGAAAAAAATCACATTTTTCTTTTTTAATAGACTAGTGAAGTGCTTTTTATTTACTTAAACCTCATTCACACGTTGCATGCAATTTTTTTAAAATAACCATATCAAAATGATTTCATACATCTCCATGATTGGACTTGTTCCATGAACTCTGTACTGTCTATGTACTTGCATACATCCATTTCATTTTTTACCATAACTAATCCTGCTATCAGTCCACACAAAATAATCTTATTGAGTGCAGTGGGAGAGCCACATGTAGAACAATGGTCAGACTGAGCACTATTTAGGTCTAGATTGTGTTTGTAGCACTTAGCTGATAGTAAAAAGCAGCATGTAGCTGCATTGCCACAGGAAGAGTTTTGCACTCCAAATAACTGAATAACCAGTTCAGGTGCAGGTCTGGAAAAACAAATTAAATATATTTTGGGTCAACCTGAAATGAGAATGTTTCAAAATTTTCTGTGAGCCAAAATGTAAAAGAATAGATTCATTTTGGGCTGACCAAATTGTTTCCATAGACCCGAAATGAATATTTGTTTTTTAGATTTAATTTTTTAAAAATAAATATGAAATTGAGAGAAATTCTGAAACAAACTGTCTTTCTGAAAGAAAATAATCCAGATTTCTAACTTTTTAAATTGTTTTTTGACTGAAAAAAATTGCCAATTGACTTGAATTTGTAAATTGTTTCATCTAATCCAAATCTGTGTTTTTTGGCAAAATAAAGTTTTGCATGACAAATTTCACCAAGCCCTACCTGGGCTGCATTTTGCTCCTGAGAAACACAATCATTCCCATGACCCTTCATTGCACTGGAAGGGAAGCATGCTCCTCACCTTGCATTCAGGCAGTTGTGCTGGCTATTACATGGGGTGTACAGTTCTATAGGCTTGATTTCAAAATATATTTAGGCACCTATAGATGCAAATAGGCATCCTGTGGAATTTTCAAAAGAGCCTAGGTGCCGAATTAATCACTAGCTGCTTATCTGCATCTTTAGGAATCTAAAGACATTTAAAAATTTAGCACTAGGTCTCTCCCACTTCCCCCAGTTCCCACCCTCTTGCTCTGAGGGGAAGCTTGAATATGTACTTGCATTCATCTGAACACCAAGGCCTGGATCTACATATAGCTCTAAATAGATGTATAGGGACTGAGCTATCTAGCCTTTCCTGCATGGCTACATTGAGGTTAGGAACAATCTAGCTCTGAATTAGGTGTCTAATATATATCTATATATATCTATATATCTATAGATATAGATATAGATATATAATCGGCCCAATACTGCAAGTTCTCATTGTGCAGAACTGCCCCTGAAGTCAATGGGAGTTACATACAGAAAAGTCTTTCAAGATCAGATCCTATGAAGGATAAGGAGAGGATAATATTTATTTATTTATTTTAAATTCATTTTAGATACATATGAGAGAATTTCTAAGTGGCTTACCCATTCAGTTTCTTCAAAGCCTTTCCAGACTGACTTTGTGCCAGAATGTCAAATTGTAATAAACTCTTTAGCTATTTTTAAAAAAAACAGGTAGTTTAACATAGGGTTTTATTAAATTATATTTTCTAAGGAAAAAATGAAGTATTTCACATAATGTATTATCAGCTGACTTGACCAGTATTTAGAAAGTTAATAAAGTGAATATAAGTTTATTGCTGAGAAACTTCCCAGTGTTACGAAAGGATGTTGAATGACCTACATACAGATGAATACAGTTTCATCTATTTGTGAGGGTTCTAATTTATAAATAATATCCATAATATATGGAGATAATTTTAATTAAAATCTAAAAAGCTGCAACTGAGTTTCTTTCAGAGGTGTACCATCCATGTAAAAAAATGAGATTACTTATTATAGAGCTAATGGCTCCATAATGAAGACTGAATTAAGTTTTCCATGTAAAGTGGGAATTCAGCCTCTTTGTTATGCATTATATTACTCTCTCTCTCTCTCTCTCTCTCTCTCACACACACACACACACACACACACACACACAGACATACAAAATTTTACTTGTCCATAGATAAGAAAAAACACATTTTTCATTACTATAATTCGTCATGGTTAAGGGCAGATGAGTAGATATTCTTCCTGAAATGGTGTATTTCCTTGGTAGTATTGCAAACTGTTATGTATTTATATGGCCTTTATTTATTTTTTTAAAAAGGGCTAGGCATACTCTCCCATTGTTCTATGTTTGGATCTCCAATTTATTTCCAGGAAAAGTTTTGTATAAAAATCTTTAAATCCTAATTCAAAATAAGCAACTTTGATGTAAATTTAGTCATTTCAGTTTTACTGCAACACATTGGCACCAGATGTCTATAAATATGGGAAAGTTGTTTAATCTATTTGAAGTACAGTGCAGCAGGCCAATAAGACGTCATTATGCTATTACCACTATGAAAAATTCTGAAACTGAGTTTAATCTGTTCCACTGATCCCCACAATCAGAACCCAAAAGCTTCTTAAAAAGCTCTTCCATTTTATTTTCTCACTAATCTGCTAATCTGTTTTGGTATAAAGTAGATACACATACAAATACACACACACACACACTTAAAAACCATTGTTCAAAATCTGTGTCTTTGTAGATATCCTCATATGTAAAGAAATGGGCAAAAACAAACTTGGACAGCTTTCTTGAACTGAAATTGTTTTTGAATTTGAATTTGTTAATAAAGTTCATGATATTGTATGTTGGTTGAAACGTTAGAAAGAATGAAAGCTATGTGGGTGTAATTCTCCAGGAAGCAAATGCCTCATCTAGGAAGCATCCTGCCAGAAATGTTAGAAACCTAAATGCTGGAAATTTTACTGAGTGAAGATGAAACAGACTGTGACGAAGCTACAGAGGCAGTGTTCTTGTTCTGTGTGTCTGAACTGATGAAAGTATCCATTGGATGTAGGCTAGTTACGTTAGTTACTCAGAAAGCATCGACACTGGGTTTAGGTAACACATTTACTGTTCTTGCTGCAAATTAATGAGATGAAGAAAAACACACACACGCACACACACAAAAAATGCAAATCTGCAATTTGCACAAATGTAATAAAACCATGTGCTAATCAAACAATACATCTTTGAACTCAAGCACACAAAAGTCAGGAAAAGCCAAAAACAAGTGAGATTTAACTCAATTTCATTGTACATCTGTTTATTTTTAGTAACTGTTCTTTGAATTACATTAATAACAAAGGGTAATACACATTATTAACAAAGGGTTACATTGACAACATGGCACAGTGAAGGTAGCCAGACCAACCTTAACTTTTTGAATTTCCTGACTCAAGTGCTTGATCTTGTAACCTTAACATTTTATTAACACTTTCTTTGTGCATTTAGAGACCAAGCCTGTTTCCAATGAAGCCTGTCCAAAATCCCACTGATTAAATAGGAGAAAGATGAAGCTTTGTATTTCTCCACACAGCTTTTTAGCATGTGTAGCTCACAAGCTTCTCCAGAGGAGCCTTTAAATTATCTGAAGACAATAAAGGAAAACCCAATTCACTGTGTATTTAACATATGTATGCAGTGTCTATAGCTGTGTGAACATGTATAAACTTAATGAAATCTTCTATTGGCACCTGATCAGTGTGAAGTCTTCACATGGCCATATTTTAATTCCAAAGATTTTATCTCAAATCAAGCAAAGGCAGAGAGGACTATATCTGTGCTCAAAGCTTCAAATTTCAGAGTGTAACTGTGTCTAAAAAAACCATTATTTTTTGGTTTGTTTGTTTGTTTTTTAAATGAAAAAGGTGTATTGAGTCCACTCACAAAAGAATTCAAGGCTGACCAAAGAGTTATGCTCATGCTATCTGGGGAAAAATAAATATAAATCTGTAGGCAGAAAGCAAGAATAGAAAATATCAGCCCAAAAGGTGAATTTGGAAAGTTTACAGAGAATTATTATAGAAACTGCTCTTCAACCTTAACTATACTGGACACTACCAAATATTTGTGCTTATAGGTTCTCAATCTAGGTGGTGTAATTTAGTCTACCCCAAGGTTCCAGGCTGAAATGTTACTACCTTTTATGTCTGGGGGAGGGTGATCTCAAAATCTTTCTGTTAGAAACACTGCTGTAATATGTGCCCCTCCCTCCCCCCCCACACTCACTCCATCCCTACCTGTTTGGAGATGTTCTAATTTTGCATTTATATCTCAGTGTAAAAAAAATACCCTCCTGGCTCTGATGCAGTTTGTAGGCTAAATTCTGCTTCCAGTTATGTCCATAGTAATTCCATTGACATCAGTGGAGTTAACTCCAGATGTATATCAGTGTAATTGAGAGTAGAATCTACACATGACAAAGAATTTTATGGAAGTGTTTGATCTTTTTTTCTCTTGGTAATAACTCTAGTTTTACTGGTCTCACAGATGCCATGAATTTGTACACAATAATAGTTGGTTATTCATCACCATAAATATTGTAAGAGAGAAAGAGCTAACTGTGACAGCAATGTGTTTTTGTGCCTTAGTGTAGCTGGGAAAAGATGAAGAATGTAAGTGAACATTATATACCCTGAAGATGACGGTCAGTGTTACCCTTGGAACTCACAACCATTCAGCTTTTTGAGAATTTTCAATTGGATTTATATTTACGTTGTCGAGAGTGGGAGAGAGAAAGACTGAGAGGGAAGTTACTTAATTAATACACTCTAAGAAGAAAAGACAGTATAACTTATAGTGATACTATAAACCTCCATCAGACGCTAGAGCAGAAAGACTCATCTAAAAAAACCCCAAAATCAGTCTAATTCCATTTGAGGTATATACTGTTAATAAAACAAATAATGCTGACTTTAACGGGGCAGTAAATCATTATGTACAAACAAATGCCCTTATTACTATCACTTAGATTATTAGATTTGGAAAAAATGTTAACAACCTAGATTACTTTTTATTATTAACACTGTTTGGTTACCATTTGCATTTCTCTCAATGTGGATTGTTAAAAATTGACCAGTCAGTTTAAATTTTTACTCAATTAATACTACTAATATAATTATAGGTGGAGCAAGTGCAAGGTTTACATAAAGGATGCCTAATGCTTTTCACTTACAACTTTAAAGTTTAGCAAACACCTGAGCAAAATTTTTCCATGCTTGTTTCAGCCTCAGGTTTAATTTTTTTCAAAGTTTTAGCCAGAAAGTTTCACTGTGTCCAAGAATAATGCTAGTGAAAAATAGGATATTTGTAGAGTCTTGTACTGATACAAAATTTGCATCCAATCCGCGGTCCACAAAAATGATCCACAGCTATCCGCATCCATGGATGCGGATTTCTGCTGATATAAAGAGAATATCTGAGGATTTTAGGGGTTCTAGATATTTGCCAATCTTTTAAAAAAAAGATTGGATCATTTTGGACTACCTCTAGCACACAAGTGGCTAGGAGCAGGGACTTGAAATTGATCCAGGGAATACTCTTGAGGTCAGAGAAGTGAAAAATCTGACTGAAAAATCAGTCCTGATTTAGCAATAATAAGCCAAGCAAAACGACCATTTGCATGTGCACAGTAGAATTTGTTAGATATTTAATCCTTAATGTTGTGAATGAAAGTCCCAACAGCACTGAGAATGCTCCCATGCCACATTGAACCTCCTGTATTGTTCTGAAGTAATCATACAGAATTGAACCTTCAGACTGGACACAGATGAAACAGTCCTCCTGTTTTAATCCATCAGAATAACCTTTAGCTTAGGAGGAGGTGCACGTGTGTAGAAGCCAGGAAGCCATGTATTCTAGACTCACCTTCTCTATTAACAGGTATTCTATGTACTTCACATAATTTATTATTAACCTCAGATCCTTGGTTTAAGAGGGATACAAGTACTAGTCTCCTCATTTTACTGAAGGAATTACTGAGGTTGCACAATTAGAAGACACAAAGTGGGTGGGATAATATCTTTTATTGGACCAACTTCTGTTGGTGAAAGATGACCGTTTGAGCTTATGCAGAGCATTTCTTCAGATCCAGGTTGCACAATGCAATTTCTCACAGAGCTGGGAATAGAGCCACAGTCTCTAATGTGGTCTCATCTGCATAGCCACAGTGCTGCCTGCATTTAAGCTTCCAACTCTACATGCTTGGCTATACAGTCTGTAAAGCTCATATGCAATTTTCTGGTTCACTATGTTATGCATCTCCCTCTAGAGCTTGTTAACAGAGGATAACAGCTTACTACAGTTAACAGAGTTACACTTTTATCTCAAGTCGCAAAGGTCTCTGTTATAAATCTGAAGATCTTAGATTCGAACCCAGATGATGGTTTATGTGGACATTATTACAGATACATATGATGGAAAATCTTTATTTTCTTTTTCATTTTTCATCCCAGAAACCCCCAAAGAAATTGCATAACAGCCTCCCCTCTTGTCATTCCCCACTCATACAAATAAAACATCCTGTGTTATATAATGTTAAGGATGCAAAACTGAGTACTCAGGACCCCTATCTCATTCAATGTACAGCATGGCTAGTGCTCAGGGATGGATTAGGGTTGTGTAGTGATTGAGTCAATATGATCCTTGCCTCATTTGCTGCAGAATTTGAAAATTATGTAGGAAGAAGACATGTCTTGTGGATAAAATGTGGGACTGGGACCCAGAAAAATGATTTCTGTTTCTCATTGAGCTACAAACTTCCTGTGTGATGATGGGCAAGTAACTAAAACCAAAATGTTCACAGATGACCACTGGCCACTAACTGCATCTTCCTCATTTTCTGTCTGTCCATTTTGAGACACGTAAAGTCTGATTTTCAGACGTGCTAATCACTCATAACTCCACTTGAAGCCAATGAGATTCTCAGAAGCTCAGAAACTTGGACAAATAATGCGCTAGCTGTGTCACATTGAATGCCAGATTATTGGGGCAGCCAAAATTAATGGATGGTTTTGCATATGTTAGCCCTAGTCTTTCTGTGCCTCGATTCCTTCTCTGTAAAATAGGGATAATGATACTTTCTTGCCTCATGAATGCTTTTAAGACAGCCAGGAGAGCCCATGAGCATCATCAAAGAGGCTATAAAGAAATAATATATTCCATATCCATTGCACCTTTTGGAAGGGGTACAGTAATGAAGGCTCACAACAAATGATGAGGATAAAAAGAAAAGTTGAACTTCTATCTCACTCCCAGAGTACAATCCATCTTGTGAATTGAACGAGGCATGGTTTTTGTGGAAAAAAAGTGTATGTGATCATGTAATCAAAGATTGTACCCTAATGCATATACATAAGAGGAAATAATTTAGTTACAGACAAACTTAATTCTGGTGTTTCCTAACTTTACTTTTTATTAAGGCAAAGATACAATAAAATATTAACATATTACATCATATATTATTTATTCAGGGTCAGCTTAATATTCAAGGAACCTGGCTAATGATTCATTAACATTATTTTTAAAAAGTTTTCATATGGAATACAATATATAGAATTCAAACTTGTGCTAGCACTTTACTGAACAAATAGAGTTATGGTCCTTGCCCCCAAAAGATTACAATCTAATTTTAGATGTGTCACAAGTGAGAACTTGTCTACACATAGAATTTGCCCCACTATAAGTTATTTTGGTTTACTTAGATCAATACAACTATTTCAGTAGAGCTCTTTCACGCTGTCGTGCACCCAGTGCATGTTGCAATGCTTATGTTCATACAGCAGCATGCTCCACTATATAAGCAT